GGTGCAGTGAGTCCGAGTGAGAAAGTGGGCAAATGACAGCAGGTGTAGACAACGCCTCTGAGATCTGGGCTAACAAGGAAAATGGGTTGCAGAGCAAAGCAGTCAGGGTGGGCTGTTACTAGGAAAAAAAGGTACAGACAGATAACACACGCTGCTCTACTGTGGAGTACATGACTGAGTGATGGACGAGTGACTCAGTAAGGTCCTCGTCATTGCAGGAAGCAACTGTAAAGCTTGTATTGAAGCAGGGATGATGACTTTGAAACACAGAGTTCAAGAAAATGAGGGCCCAGGGAGGAGGAGTGTGTGGCAGGAAAGGTGCGGGGGTAGAGTGCCGTGCAGAGAGATGGCACTGGATGGGTACGTTCTGCCTCAGTTGGTGCTTAGCAGGTTGTGTGAAACTGGCACGAGGAGAAGGATTTTGTGACTAACTTTTTAACTTCTAGATATGTATTCAGCTATGCTGGCAAAGTACAGGAAGACATGCTATAAAAATTGGACTCCAAGTTCCTGCCTGGTTGCCATGACATGACAAAAGTCCACAGAACTAAATCCACCCGTACTAGTATGACTGTACAATGCAAGAGCAAAAGAAATTGTAAACTACCATTGCATAGAGCACTATTTTTATTCTCTCTAAAATAAAAACGTAAAATAAAACTTCAAAAAAAGGAAGAGGCGGGGAGAGCCACATCAAATTTTCAAAGGATGTAATTGTCCCTAACAGAAAGAAATTGAGGAAGAGGTGGAAGAAATTGAGGAAGAGGCAGGGAGGGAGAGAGGGAGAAAAAGAGGGAAGGAGGGAGGGAGGGAGGGAGGGAAGGAGTGGGTAGGGAGAAAAGCAGAAGAGGGGCAAGGAAGTATGTCAAGTGTAAACATGCAGAAATAGGAGCAAAAAAGAACTCACACCAAAGCATGAGCAGGCCATCTCTGCACGAAGAGTACAAGGGGTTTTTTGTTTGTTTGTTGTTGTTTTTAAGAGACAGGGTCTCTCTGCACTGTTTAGGTCTGCCTTGTATTGACTTTTTAGTATGAGCATTTTTAAGAGTTTTCTGTAACCATATTTCTTTTTTCTTTTTCTTTTTCTTAAATTTGTGTGTGTGTGTGTGTGTGTGTGTGTGTGTGTGTGTGTG